CTCCCCACCAGAGGCACCCGGTCCCTGCCAGTACGGTGAGTGGGATGGGGGGGGGCAGGGGGGAGGTGACATTGGTGTCCCCAAGGGGTGTCCCCAAGGGGGTGACATGGGTGACCCCAGGGGGTGGCAGGGAGGTCCCTAAGGGGGTGACAGGGGTGTCCCCAAAGGGGGGAGGTGACAAAGGGGGTGACAGGGCTGTCCCCAATGTGTGTCCCCCTCCCCCAGACTGGCACAGCCTGCGCGTGGCAGGGCTGGTGGGGGCCGGCGTCCTCTGCGTCATCGGCGTCATCGTCCTCATCAGTGAGTGCCACCGGGGGGTCCCCGTGTCCCCAGTGTGTCCTTGTGTCACCTGGGGGTCCCCATGTCACCTGGGGGGTCCTCAAGTCCCTAACATGTCCTTGTGTCACCTGGGGGGTCCTTGTGTCACCTGGGGGAGTCCCCATGTCCCCAATGTGTCCTTGTATCACTTGGGGGGGTCTCTGTGTCACTTGGGGATCCCTATGTCCCAAATGTGTCTCTGTGTCACCTGGGGGGTCCTCATGTCCCCAATGTGTCCTTATGTCCCCTGGGGGAGTCTCTGTGTCACCTGGGGGTTTCCATGTCACCTTGGGGGGTCCCCATGTCCCCAGTGTGTCCTTGTATCACCTTGGGGGTTCTCTGTGTCACTTGGGGGGGTCCTTATGTCCCCAATGTGTCCTTGTGTCACCTGGGGGGGTCTCTGTGTCACTTGGGGGGTCCCTAAGTCCCCAATGTGTCTCTGTGTCACCTGTGGGGTCCTCATGTCCCTGACAGGTCCTTATGTCCTCTGGGGGTTCTCTGTGTCACTTGGGGGGTCCTCATGTCCCCAATGTGTCCTTATGTCCCCTGGGGGGGGTCTCTGTGTCACCTGGGGGGGTCCCCATGTCCCCAATGTGTCCTTGTGTCACCTGGGGGTCCCTGTGTCTCCTGGGGGGCAGTGTGTCTTTATGTCCCCTGGGGTGGTCTCTGTGTCACCTGGGGGTCTCTGTGTCACTTGGGGGATCCCTATGTCCCAAATGTGTCTCTGTGTCACCTGGGGGGAGTCCTCATGTCACCAGGGGGGTCCTCATGTCCCCAGGGGGGTCCTCATGTCCCTGACAGGTCCTTATGTCCCCTGGGGGGGTCTCTGTGTCACCTGGGGGTCCCTGTGTCTCCTGGGGGGTCCTCATGTCCCCAATGTGTCCTTATGTCCCCTGGGGGGTCCTTGTGTCACTTGGGGGTCCCTGTGTCACTGGAGGGGTCCTCATGTCCCCAATGTGTCCTTATGTCCCCTGGGGGGGTGTCTGTGTCACTTGGGGGTTCCTTATGTCCCCAATGTGTCCTTGTGTCACCTGGGGGTCCTTGTGTCTCCTGGGGGGTCCTCATGTCCCCAGTGTGTCCTTATGGCACCTGGGGGGTCCCTTTGTCACCAGGGGGTTCCTGTGTCACTGGGGGGGGGTCCCTGTGTCACCACGGGGGTCCCCATGGAGTCTCCTGGGTTCAGTGTCCCCTGGGGGGGGGTGGTGATGTGGTTGTCCCCATTGTTTGTCACCTCTTTTTTGTCACCTCCTCCCCCTTCTCCAGGTGGGAAGTGCAAGTGCAGGAGCAAAGCCAGGTGGGACATGGGGGTCATTGGGGACATTTGGGGACATTGGG